GCCGATTTCATCACCTAAGTGTACTGTAAGGAAAAGCTGAAGAAAGCCGGAGAGTGTCGATTCTGGTGAACATTTCTCCCCTCACACACCATCTTACTCCCTCTAAACTTCTTTCCATCTTTAAACTTTTCTCTCAAGTAGAAATTCTTCCAGATATTTTAGAAATGTCTGTGTAAAATGCTCACCCACATTCATGTGGGTAAAAGATCATAGTTGTACAGTTTTCATAAATGTCTGTGGTGAAGCAACGGAAAAATCATGGCCGTATGATTTTTCCTGATTGATTGCTTATGTTGTTATTTTCATAATTTGCCAAATTAATGTAAATGTTTGATGTTAAATTTTGATTCTGTAAATAAATGACCGCATTCATTTTGATGGGTCAAACGTAAATGACGTCTCACGTTTGCATTTCCTTAAATTCAATGCACGTTTTATTCAGTCCAGAAAAATGAGGAATCCGTGTTAAATGATGAATATATCTGAGCATCTGTTCATCTACACACTGCACTCGAACCGCGCTGGAGTTTGCTTCTACCAGACCGAGACCTAGGTTTTAGCCCGGGCCAGAGTTCGCCTTTTTGTTCTGTGACAGAGTTCGCTGGCGCGTTCACACCTCCCTAAACGAGCCGGACTTTCTAGGAAGACGAGCTAGAGTTCGATTAAAGCGGACTAAACAGGGCTAGTGTGAATGCACCCTAAGAAACTGTCAAATCTATTAATGCACTACTACTTATGCGCTTTTCAATTGTCGCTTGTGAACCGGTTGAGTTTAGATTTGTAAAAATTTACAAATTTGCACTGAGTGTTGTCATTGTGGCAGAAAGAGTAAATGTCATGAATAAATTTGACATTAAACATAATCCAAGTTGAAGTGTTGCATCATTTTCAGCCACCATTTTGGCATCTGCATTTGGCAGCAGGCCAAATTGACAAAGTCCATACAGAAAAATGTAGTAATTTAATTCCACAGCAGAGAAAACTATGTAGTCTCTGTAAGTAGGTCTAGGAAACAAAATATCGGGATCGGTTATCAGCCAAATAAGTTTTAACATATCGGCATATCAGATATCGGCCAAAAATCCAATATTGTGCATACCTACACTAAAAATGATAGTACTATGTATTCAAAGTTACAATATTGGAAATGGAAATTAAAGTTTTATAGTCATAAAGAAACATAACGGTGCCCCAGGCTGTCCCAGAAGTTCTGAAACTAGTTACTGCTCCTGCTACTTGTACTTGCAAATAACCAAAGAACTTTATGAAAACACCATGTAATGCACAAGTGACTGTGATGTAAAGTTTTATAAATTACTGTTCACACAAACCATTGTCGTTTTTGAGATGGAAATTGTTTTAATTGTGTTGGTTCTGCTCAGAAAATTAAACTCTGTTAATAAACTGATGTTGATCAAAAAGCTTTACAACAGGTAAGATGTTCATTGCTCATAACCTTTTCACAGAACCACATTTTAAAAGACCTGAACCATTCCTTTAAGGTCTGACCACATAATGAGCTCTGCCACCTCTGGTGCTCATTTTGTGGTCAGACCTTTAACAGGCGGTTCAGAGTAGAGGATGAAACAAATGACCAACAGAGAGTGGAGGCACAGAAATTTGGACCAGTTCAATCAGAACCAGCACACTGAAAGAACACACTGTCTCTGTATTATCAGGGGGGTTGTTGAGTGTGGGAGGTGGTTCTGTTCTTGAAAAATGGAGAAGTGAAACAAAGATAAGACTTCTTCACTCCTTTTGCTTATCAAACCGAGCACTTTCACTTATTTCAAAACTGCTTCTGCTTGGTTAATAATTTATCAAAAAGAAACCTCATGAAACACAGCTTTTTGTTACACATTTAAAGACATCTGTAATGGTTATGGATTATATTCCTTCCAAAAAAATAAAAATCCTTCCTACCATGACGCCAGTGAAGAGACACACGGCCTTGCCACAGCTGGTGTTGGGTGAAACATCCCCATAGCCCACTGTGAGGAAGGTGATGGCTATGAGCCACAAGGCTGTGTCCATGTGGCCCGTCGATGCTTGGCTTCGCCTGCAGAGGGGGAACAAATAGGCTGTCACACATGGTTCATTCTTATAGTTTCACTGCAGTTTCTAAGTCATGCTGCCCATTATTTTAAGTTTAAATACAACCAAAATGATCAATGCCTCCTTAAATTTAAAATTTAAAAAGCACATTACCTGTTTGTAAGATTTATAGTTAATTTATTTTTCAGCACTTCCAGTCTTGGAATTGCCACAGTAAGCAAACTTACGTGAAAAGTTTGGCAATTGTTTTAATCCAGATGCCCTTTCTGACACAACCTGGGCTTGAACCTTTGCAGCTTTAGGGTTACCAGTCAGTGACACTGATCACTGAGCTACCGTGGCCCTCATGTTTATTAATACTTAAACAAATTCAATAATTGTAAAAAAAAAAATCTATAAATCCTTGTTAAAAAATTCTAATGTTTTGTAAAATATGGGTTATTACAGTGAAGGAGTTCTAAAACATCCATTTAAGATCAATTAAACAACCTATTTCAACTTTATAATTCATTCAAGTCAAGTCAAGTCAGATTTATTTATGTAGCACATTTAAAACAGGAATTGTAACCAAAGTGCTTAACAAAAAGATCACAGCATCAAATAAAAAGTAACAAGATAAAATTACAGCATATAGAATAAAAACATAAAAGCACAAAATATAATCTGCTTGTAAATGAGTCCTCGAGGCTCAATGGGATTTACCTGTCTAAATAAAGGTTGATTGATTGATTGATAATCAGAAACAATAAAATACTAAATCAGATCACACTGTAATAAATGCCATTGAGTACAGGTGTGTTTTGAGGAGACATTTTAAAACAGAGACTGAGGTGGTCTGTCTAATATTGATGGGCAAATTATTCCAGAGTTTAGGGCCCATGTCTGAAAATGTCTGATCTCCTCTGAGGTTCAACTTGGTTTTTGTACCACCAAAAGCAGCTGGTCCAATGATCTCAACGCCCGAGAAGGAGCATAAGGATGAAGAAGGTCGGAAAGGTATGAGGGTGCAAGGCCATTAACACACTTAAATGACAGTTTGAGAATTTTAAAATCAATTCTGACATGCACAGGACGCCAGTGAAGGGAGAATAGAATCAGTGAAATGTGCTCAAACCTGCGAATTCCTGTTAAAAGCCAAGCAGCAGCATTTTGGACAAGCTGGAGACATGAAAGGGAGACCTGACTGACCCCAGCATAAAGTGAGTTACAGTAGTCTAGCCAGGTTGTAACGAATGCATGGACTAATTTTTCAAGGTCGGATCTGATCAGCACGGACTTAAGCTTAGCTGCCTTAGCTGAAAGAAGTTTTTTTGAAGAACAGAGTTGATCTGTTCATTAAACGTAAAGTCCAAGTCCAAAACAATCCCGAGATTAGTAACAGACTGTTTTAGATATGGCTGAAGGGAGTGCAGGTTTACAGAATCAGAGACAATGGCAGAGCTAGGGTTAAACACAATGACCTCAGTTTTCTGATCATTAAAATTTAAGAAGTTCATACCCATCCAACTCTTGATGTCATCAAGACATTTTAGCAGAGGGCAAATGGAGCAGGGACTGTTAGGTTTTAAGGGCAGATATATCTGAGAATCATCAGCATAACAATGAAACAAAATACCATGTTTCTTCAGAATAGACCCCAAGGGGAGCAGATATAATGAAAACAGAAGGGATCCAAGAATGGAGCCTTGCGGGACCCCACAGGACAGAGGCACAGAAGCAGATAAACGATTACCACAACATTAACACAAAAACTTCTGTCACTCAGATATGAACGGAACCATTCTAACGCTGCACCGGTAATCCCAACCCAGTGTTCTAGCCACGATAAAAGGATGTTGTGGTCCACAGTATCAAAGGCAACGGTAAGGTCAAGGAGTACCAGGATCACAAACTACAAATTAACTGTTGACAATAAATTATGTCTACTTGCAAATCAAATTGCCTTTTTCATTAATGCAAGCAGCTAATAAATCTTGATGTGGTCTTCCCTGCGTTGCAAAATCCCCAGAGCCACACAATTAAAGCTTAGAGAGAGTTGGTTAAATATCAGTGGTGTATATTAACAATATAACAATATATTTCCAAAAGGAAAACTCTAGCTTTATTTGAGGTGACTTTTTTGTCATAACAGAACTCTTTCGATACAAATTTACATAAATTCTGACAAACTTAAGAAATTAAAAATATTAAAATGCTACATAAACACTTGCATTTGTCTAAATATCTTCCTACAGTTAAAAGGAATTCTTTAATTTGTATTTTTGTGTCGATATCATGTTAAGTCCCATGTTCAAAAAAAGGTTCAGTTGATAAATCAAAGACTGTTACCAAAGCTGGAAGAGGTAGACAGAAAGTGTAAATTAGCAAATTAATACAAAGAACAAGTGCAGTGTACACTTGAAGGAATACATTTAATTAGTTATGCACATTTAAGAAATTTGGGGGGATTGTAGTTATCGCTTGTGAAGAATAAATAGCGGAGCCGCTTGTTTCAAAATGATTTATGACTTTAATACTTCTCCTTCTTGTGCTCTTTCATTACTATTTAAAAATCAGATTGCACAAGACTGAGATGAGCAAAACTTTCAATTAAATTTTAATTGTGCAGATGACCTCAAATAGACATAAACATTCAAATAGATGTCCGCATTATGTTACCATTTGACTGGAATGCTTTTATAGCAACAACAAAAATGGATCATGACAATAAAATCCATCAGTGGAAATTGATTTATATTAAGAAGTAAAATCCAACGGTGAGAGAGCCTATAAATATACGAGGCATTCAGTAAGGAATGTCTCATGTTTACGCAATTCACAATAAGTGGTTCTTTAAACGTGAAGGTGTGAACACTAATGATTCTGATGTTGATTGTACAACTATGTGGTCCTGTAATGGACTTGTGACCGATCCAGGATGCAGCCTGCCTCTCACACTGTTGGACACGAGCACTAGTGACCCTCAAGACCCAGAAAGGATGAAGCGAGTAAGGACAATAAATGGATGGATGACATGTGTCTGATTTAACATTGAAAACAAAGCAAACAATAAAAAATAAACTAAGAAATGTGTGCTATGTCACATAAAATTAAGAATTAAGTCAATTTTAGTCAAATAAAATGTCCATTTTCAGATTCTTGACTTTTTACCCTACATTTTGCTACCTAGATCATCCAGACATCATGAGCAGTTCCAGAGACGTGGCTCGATATATGTGTCTTGTCTCGTGAAACAAGACACATTTTCAACTTTTTAAAGTTTTGAGAAAACAAACGTTGGGATTTTGGAGATTCTGAGCTGTTGAACACATTCACAGAAAGTAATTTTAATGCAAAAACAACATCCAGATGTTTTCAGATAAAAGAAAACAATATTTTTAAGGTTATCTGTCATGTCTAGGTGTTTTGTGATGTCTGTGACTACTTGTGATTATTTTTATATACAGTAGTCCCTCGTTACTTCGCGGTTAGACTTTCGCGGACGGCTGATTGATGGATGAATCACACGAACGGCATGAATTGTTTATTTAAAATAAATTATTTTAAACGATTAAGCACCTGTGTTCAGGCCACAGGTGCAGGGAGAAGCTCTCTCCTGCAGCCTGTCATGATCTCCGCTCTCTGCCACCTGCGGCTCTCTGCCATGCCCACAGTTCTGCTCCATGCTGAAACAGCTTTGTGAAGGGTTAACCCTTTGCCTTCCAGCTGCACCGATCGACTTTTGTCTTCCAACTTAAAATTCAAAGTTTGACACATCTTAAAATCATCATAATTACAAAATATAAAAGTGTTAAAAGTTATTTTTTAACTATTTTAGAACTTCTGTGTTCAGTTGTTACAGTGTAATTGATCAAGAAGTACATTTCCGCGCCGTGCTGCAGAGCTGCGTGAAGGGTTAACCCTTTGATGTCCTGCTGCACTTCTCAATCCATGGATTGTTTATTTAAAATATTACTGTATTTAAATTTAAATTGTTTATTTACACAGAAAGAGGGAGACTGGGAGGTGGTGTGTGTGACTGCAGTGGTGAAGTGGGCTGGCGGAGAGCGAAGATCATGATATTTTGTGCTCTTTTAGAGCGTTTAGAATTTAAAAACATTGTTTAGAATATCACAAGAGTGTGGGCATGGTATATAAAGTCTTAATATATAAATACTGAAATAAACTACTACTTATTGCTACTTTTACTATTTGTACTACTATCCCTACTTCACAGTTTTTCATTTATCGCAGGTGGGTGTGGTCCCAAACCCTGCAATAAACGAGAGACTGCTGTAGTTCTCTGAGTCTGTTTTTCCAGTGTTTCCAGTTTCCCCAGTGTTCCTCTCCTCATCTAGTCAGCTCCTGCCATTCTCACCTGTTCCTCACTGTCTTTCCCCAGGTGTTCATCAATGTGTCTCATTAATTCCCCTTTAAGTTCAGCATCTCTGTGTATCCACGTTGTCCGTAGATTGTGCTTCCCACAGCCTCTCATGTTCTGTTCCTCGTGTTTCCATTTACCCAAGTAGGTTTTTCTGCCTCGTCAGCTTTTGTTTTGAGGGGTTTTTTTTTGCTTAATAAATAGATATTCTTTATTTATCTTGGAGTCCTCTGTGTCTGGCTGCCTTTGGGTTCAGCACCATGCTGATCTTGACAGTTATTCACATATAATTTAATGAGTCGCGGTTGCCTGGTGGTCAGTATCTCACACTTGTAATCTTGAGGGCATCCAGTGTAAATCAATTGCCGAATCTTTCATGCAAGTTCGCTGGCGGTGATACCCATGAAGAAGGAAGCAGATGAAAGAAAACATATTATACTCCCACCCACTTCTAAATTTCATTTGTTGTTTTAGCGTTATTATTGTGGTATGTGATCTTTATGTTGTTCACTCTGAGTTGTTTTTAACTACTGTACAACATTTCATGATACGTTATGACAAGAATCATATTGGACTGTATTGGTCAGTTCATACCTCTCACACAGAGTAAGCATCCAGGACACAGTAAGCCAGAAAAGGACGATGAAGACCAGCAGCGTACGTGCCGGGTGTTTGTTCATCAGTACTTTTAGAACAAAGCGAAAGCTGAAGTTGATATTGTTAAGTGAGCCAATGCTCCTGTAGGAGGCGCTCAGCAGCACTTTACTGTGCAGCAAAATGGCTCTGTGGACCAAGTACAGGCGGAGGAACATCAGCACGGATAACAGTATATCCATGTCCAACAGAGCCTTGGTGTGATGACCAGATACACAGACAGGAGCGGTGGAGGAGGAGTTGACGTGGTGGGCCACGTCCCAGTATGATCCGACTGGGTGGATGATACAGACCAACAGCTCCAGAATGATCACCAGAACTCTGTGGCTGGTCATAGCAATTCTCCAGTCCACCTGGTTGTGATCAATGATGAACAACTGAAATGTAGAGGAGGACAGTAAAAAGAAAGAGAAAGAAAAAAAATGATAAATATACATGTAGTGATAAAACCAGGTAAAATAGAATCACAGAATAAAAGGAAATCTACTTTCATATTGTTTGTTTATGAACCATTAAAGAGAATTGGCAAAACTCACATTTAGAAAATCTTTTATCTTGTGACCTATTGTCTTATTGGTGCTCTGAGTCGATCGCAGTTCAGTGGCTTCTGCAGAGTTACCAGCTCTTTGAGAACTGAGCTCAGGGGCTCCGTGAGTTTCAGATCAAGGAGGTTTTCTGACCTTTTTCCAAAAGTTCACTGTTCTGATCTTTGAGACACTTTGTTAGCACCGAGCCTGGATTGTTAGAAAAAGCTGGCAAGTTCCAGGCTAGATTTGTGAGTAAGCTCACTTCTTTGGATGAAACGTAATGATGGAAATTACAGTTCTTTTATACAGATCGTCTTTGATCAGCAACCAAAGAGTTTGGGTCTTTTTCAGCTCTAGCTCCTCACGAGCAGCACTAAAGGAAAAGCTGTTTGAGAGACAATCCCAGACATGGATCAATTCAGGCGGTTTCACTGTTGGCATGATTTAAGACTCTTGGTAATGCTCACCTTTTCTTTTCTTGACTAAGTATTTTCCAAAACAATCAAACAATCAGGAGGAAAACTCATCATAGAAAATAACTTTGCAGCAGTCCTTGTACTTCCTGCAGAATTTTAGTTTGTCCTTGATGGTTTTCATGAACAGAAGCTTGCTGCCTTTCCTGTCACAAAATCATTGTCCAATACAAAAGTCTTTTTCTCACTTTGTGCACAAATATATTCACAATCCATGTGCTAAAGATGCCTAACTCGTCACTGATGGCAACACAGTTCTGTAATGCCCCCTCAGGAAGAAACATCCTTGGTGCTTCATGGCCACTCTTGGATCTCCTGAATCCTTCCTCATGGCACCTGAACCTCACTTTGAAGTTCATTCTTGATTGTGATGCAAAGAATGGAAAGCTACTTGCTTTTCTACCAAGATCAGACTTTTTTTAGCTAAATACCAACGTGCAAAGGACAACAGGAATCAAAACCTGATGTGAAATTCACTGTCTATGCTTTTTATTTTATTATTTGTTTTTTTTTTTCACCTGGATTTACTAATTGGAATCTTGTGTGACACAATTGATCAAAGTATTTGACCTATTGTTACTTTTTTAATTTTTTTTTTTACCAAAGTTAGTGTTACTGTTGGGATTTTTTGTTGTTATTTTTAGCTTAAAGGAGCTAAAGGAGCATTAAGATCTTGTTAGAGAAATGAAATGAAGCATTGTCATTGAGTGACAGGGTTTTCTCTGCTGCTCCTCGTCTCCGGCCATCTAAAGACACCCCAGACTACAGAAAATTTGAAGAAAGGACCGAAGACCTTCTGATTTGAAATATTTTATATTGTTTAAATGTATTTTTGAATCCTGCTGTTTTTAAGTTGTTTAATTTTTCAGTTTTTTTAGTCCATGTTTTATTTTCTCTAGCTGTTTTATATTGTAGCACTTTGAGATTGTAAAGTGTACATTGCTGTACAAATTGAAAAAAATATTATTATTATTATTATTGTCAAATTAAAGCCAGTTATCCATCCAGCCATTATCTTTACTCACTTCTTCCTTTTCTGGTCACAAGGGTCCCTTGTGCCCATATCCAGCTGTCATTGCACAAGAGGCAGGGGACACCCTGGACAGGTCTCCAGTCCATCCCAGGGACACACAGAGACAAACAACCATTCACTCTCTCACTCACACCTAGAGACAATTTACAGTTACCAATCAGTCTAACATGCATGTTTTTGGTCTGTGCGAGGAAACCGGAGCACCCGGAGGAAACTCACGCATGTACAGTGAGAACATGCAAACTCCACCCAGAAAGGCACCTGACTGGGATTCGATCCGGCAACCTTGTTGCTGAGAGGCGGCAGCTCTCTCAACTGATCCAACGTGCCACCCTAAAACACTATCAACTAGATATAAAAAGTGATTGTTGAATAATAATTTTTTTAAATTAAATTTTTACACACCCTGTTGTGAATGTTGTAGAAAATCTGACGAGCTACAGAAATTTTCTCAACGAAAGTAGAAAGCGGTGTTGAAACATAGAAGTTGGAGCTAACTCCAAGCTTTTGACTCAGTTTTACAAACGGTTATCTCACTCTTTGTTTTGCTCAAGTTCAAGTTAAATGCTGCACGTTGTTATGACAGAATTTTAAAGAAAGCATAATTAGCATGTTCTGTTTATTTTGTTTATCTTTGTTTCATTTAAAGTTAGATTTTTGGGGTTTTCACTTTTTTTTTTTGTTTCAGAGTGTTTACTTTTTGAAATGTCTTTTCTGAGCTCTCTCTTTCTTTTCCTTCCACTGCCCAAATTTATACACTTGTAAAAATATAATTTCTTTATTATTTTGTTGCTGTTCAGCTTTTGATTTGAACCGACTCGCTCGCGCCGACTTCACCAGTCTTCTTACTTTTGTTCAGTAAACGAATCATCACATGTTTTTGAATCATTCATTCTGTCATCTTAAAACCTAATGAATCAACTAAAGAAGGTGTCACAGTTCATTGTAGGGGCGTAGTGACTCCACCCTAAACCTGCCCCTCCTTATCTCCTCCACACACTCGGAGTGGACTCCTCTTGTATCAGATACAGGAGATGAAATCGGTCTGTGGGGTCACAAACCCAGCAGCCTGACAGACTTTTTCAAGTAATCCGGATCAGTGTTTTAAATGCTCGTTGTCCGTGCTGAAGTTAACCGCCTGCTGCGAGTGCTTGAGGGCAAATAAAAACAATGTTTACTCTGCTTAACTTCAGCCAAATCCCTTCATTTATACTGACTTCACACACAACGGCAGGGAGCCATGTGGACTGGAACAACATCACAGATGGAATATTGCGCTTGTTGTATGTGTGGGCTGAGATTTTCATCCAGGGTCTTTTTACACTTACACTGTACAACCAAGATAAACAATGCTGTGGCTATCATCTTTGGACCAAGAGCTCCTGCTACAACAATCGCCATGAAGTATCTCAAACAAAGCAAAGCTCTAACTGAGCTCATTTGGAACAAAAAAGACAAACAACAGTGGTTTATTCAACAGAATGCAAACTCACCCTGATGTCCTTATAATGGAAAACTGCAATGAGGATTAGGAGACACCCGGTGGACAGGCTTATGGAACAGTTGATAATCAAGGAGACTTTTGAGCCCTTAGAAGAAAAGAAACAACAATTACTCCAGAAATATATTTAACTTCTACTCATAAGTACTTTTTGACAACCAATCTGAAAGTTTTGTTAGCTCAGGTAGGCACTATATTAAATCATGATCTGAGGAAGATGATCAACCTGCTGCCATAAGAGGCAGGTGATTACGTAATTGTCTGTTTGTGTATTTGAGGGCAAATTCAGCGTATTGTATTTGTACTATTAGTGTATTAGTTCATATCTTAGATCTTATTACTGTTTTTCTTTACAATTTATACTTTTGTTGGTTGTAACTGGAACCCCGTGTACACAATTTCGTTCCACCACATGTATCACATGTGGTTTGAATGACAATAAAAAAAAACCTTGACCTTGACTTTGACCTTGAGTCTGCTTTGTCCTTTTAGAAAAATGTCTCAAGTGCCAGTCGGTACATTTCAATACAATTAACAGAAAAAAATTATTGTCTATAAGTGATTTACTTTTGGAGTCAAAAACTAATTCAAGATGGCTGCCACAGCTAGTCATCATTAGCAAATGCAAGAAGTCAGCTGTTCAATTTTACAAATATTGAGTTAATATCTGCTGTGTTAGCTTAAAGTGACCCTCAACACATTCTCTGGGGGCCAACAACATCTTTGTCTAAAGCTTTAGCATTTCACTTCCTCTTGGGTTTATTACTGAAAAACTACTTTTAATAGTTTTAGCCAAAAAATAAACAAAAACCCTTAATAAGTGTTGTTATATCATGCTTGTGTTGGCTACTAGTTCATTTGGAATACTTTGTCTTTTGTCTTTGTTGTCAGCGTTTAAGTTGTTATTTTATTGAATAAGTCAATTTAGTTTAGTTTTCTTGAATGTGACTGTGTATTTAGGCAGTTCTTATTATTCTGTTTGGCTGTTTGGTTCTTTTAATCCCATCCAAAGCTGTTTGACATTGTCAGTTTTCACAGTTTGCCCTCCAGCTGTTAGTAATCAGTGCACCTGTTGTGACTTGTTAATTACTCTTCCTTGTAAATATAATCGTATTCCTGTTTCTCTTCAGTTCATCGTCAGCTCCTCCTGTTCCCCACACTTTACTGTGAATTCCTGTACTCCTATTTGTGCTTTGTCACAAACGACTGACAAAGCACGTTTCCTATTTGTGCTTTAAAAAAAAATAAAAAATTCAAGTATTGCCCTGTAATCTGCCTCCTGATCTACTGCACGTGTGTTCTTCCAACACAAATTGTGTTGTTGTTGTTTTTTTAGGCAAATGCATCAGTCACCTCATAATACTTCAATTCAATTCAGTTTACTTATATAGCGCCAAGTCACAACAGAAGACATCTCAGGACACTGAACAGAAACATTCATATACAGTATAAAAATAATAATTTAACATTATTTATCTGAGGAGCAGACTGCTTTGAATTTAACTCCATCACAGACTCTTATCTTGAGCAAGCATGAAGGTGATAGTGGAAAGGAAAAACTCCCCCATGAGGAAAAAACCTTTAGCAGAAGCAGCTCAGGACAAGCGACCATCTGCTTCGAGCGGCTGGGTTTGAGAGGAACAGATACACAATGGCAGGTTGAGAATCACATGTTGAGATAGAAATAACATCTAATGAAAACTATTCAATTTAAACAATTCATTTAAGTAAATGAGGTCAATTTATCCTCCAGTAGTCTAAGCCTAGGCAGCATAACAAGCCAACCCTAACTATAGGATTTATCAAAAAGGAAAGTATTAATCCCAGTCATAAAACTGGACAATGTGTCAGATTACATACAGAAACTGGAAGTTGGTTCCACAAGAGAGGAGCCTGATAACTGGAAAATCTTCCTCCCATTCTGCTTTTGGTAACTCTAGGAACCGCAAGTAAGCCTGCAGTCTGAGAGCAAAGTGCTCTGTTATGGAAAATATGGAACAATAAGATCTCAAATATAAGATGGAGCTAGGTTGTTGAGGGCTTTATAGGTTAGAAGTAAAATTTTTCGTTCAATTCTGGATTTGACAGGGACTGGTATAAGATTATTATAAAATTATGCTACACTGAAGTTATCTAACCAGAAATTATTAATATTTCCACAATGCAAGTTTTAAACTCAGGCCAAAGTCTTTTTGATTAACATGACTGTAAACTGAATTTCCCTTTTTTTTAATGTTGCATAGACACTGTTTGTTTCTAAAAAAAACAAAAAAAAACAAATCAACTGAAGGCTTTACTGAGATAAGCTTTTAGTTTGAAGAGTTCAAAGAGTTTATCCTTGCTTTTATTTTCTTAAATTTATGTCTGATTTTTATTCCAACGTGACTTCTTTCTTTGCTTTTTTTTTCATCATTTTATGATTTTCATCTGAGTAAAGTGCTATATAAATAAACTTTACTCCTACTTATTTCCATGTCTCTGATGTGGGGGAAAGATTTGTTGGTCTTTTGTACAAACCAAGTAAAAATGTTTTTCAGGTTATATTGGGAAGTATGAGGTTGCCTGCGAAAGGCTCCACTTAAATATTCCTAAACAGGAAATATCTGTTAACACACAGTTACTACAGCCTGTTTGGTGCTTCAACTGTTAACAGACAGATGGAAAATCGTGCAGTTTTCAATTACATCTCTTTGTCTCTGTGGCAGCATATTACAGTATATATATATATATGTTTATCATGTGCTTAAATGTTAATTTGTTTGCTGACCAAAATGCATCCTTAACTGTCTTAAAAACAATCTGCCGGAAATTATTACCCGCTTTTATTTCACAGTCTGGAGTTACTATTTTTTCTAGATACAAGTAAATGTTAGACTGCAAAAAGATTACAATCTCTCACCAGCATCTCACCCAAAAATAAATAAATAAACTGCCAATTGTGTCCTAAATGTTGCATTTAATGGGTAAAAGAAAAACTTAAATATGTTTTTCTGCCAAATGTAGACAACTTCATTAGTGTGTACAGTAATATATTTACAGACTTTGACACAAAATTCTACCTGAGTTAGTAAAAGATGACTGTTAATTCTCAGTTATAATTAACTTATTTGGAAAATAACTATTTGTTTCAAACACTTTTACTTCAAAAAACATAGATTAATTGTTCTTTTCTTTTCGAGCATTAGCTTTTTTTTACTGTGCACCTTTAGAGTAATACAGTAGATCACTAGGCAGCAGTTTATGGACAAAAAAAGGACAATATTTTCAACAAAACAATATTTTAATTGTTATTTCTTCTATGAATTTGCAGAAAACCCCAATATTTCTTGTGTTTCCACAAAGAGATTGACCAAAATAAAGTAATCACCGCTAAGTTCCATGAAAAAGGAATTCATGATTCTGTAATGAACTCAAGGGAAAGTGTGTTAAAAGCCACTCAGCTGCTGAAACGAGTGTTTGTAATTAAATACTTTCCATTCCAGGGAACTGACAGCTGGAGGCACAGATGCACACACTGAGACTGGTTCACAAACCGAACGAAGGGCTCAAACACCACACTGCCTCATGTCGGCAGTCATGCATCCCAGAGCAAGTGATGCAGCTTGAGTGGAAGATTTTAACAGGAAGTGGCTTACACTTAAAAAGATAATTGCAAGTTTCAAACTTGGGGAAGCCTGAGCGTGTAGGTGGTATTGTGTGACGTCCATTGGCAAGGTGCGTTGTTTTCCACAGTTGCTGCCGTAGCATCCGCATCGTTTCTGTGTTTCCTCCAGGACTCGTTAGAGGACCCCACAAAAAACTCAACATTTCAAAGACAGGCCATAACAGAGATTTTAACGACGAGGATGTTGCTGAGTTTTATAAAATTGTTTTAGTAATATTTTCCTTTTGGAAAGAATGGTAAACCAACATCATAGACTTGGATGGTCTGAGCTGCTTTCACTGAGCCTGGCCACCCAAGGCATGACAAATAAACTCATTCAGATCTGGTTTGCATGCTGGGATGTAAACAATATAATATTGTTTTTATAACTCTTATGATTACAAAAGCAGCAATATGACTTTATTTTGTTTTTTTTTTCTCTCTCTCTCTTTTAGTAGCATTTCTTTAGTTTTCAAGTAAATTGCTTTAAGCTGAAACTAAAGTGATGTGGTGGCAAATGTGAAGAAAATTCAGCTGCACAAAATTTGCAAGTTTCGAACAAAAATCTGCAAAATGCAAACTCAGAAACGTTTCTTGGAGCTGCAAACAACTAAAGTGAACATTTGACCCTCTACAAGAATCACAGGAAAACGGTTTCATGTACAGTAACAGAGGTCAAACGCTGAATCTGACTGTCTTGGACATTTTTTTTTTCTGTTATTATTTAGCACAAACAAGCATCACAGCTCATTTGAATATTTCAGCCCTCTGGGTCCATATTTTAGTAAAACCGCATCAGATCTGACTCATGGCTTTGTCCGTGCTGCGTTATATTTTAGACCAAAGCTGACTCCTCAGCAGTAAAAGCAGGACAGATGAACACAATGTAGCACAGTGGTTTCAGATTTGCCTATTTGCAAAACATCTTTGTACTGTCTGCAAGATGGGTTGTCAATGCATGGGTTGTATTGCACAATGTTATCAAACCATCGTTGACCATTTTCTTTAAAAAAAATAAATAAATAAAGCTGCCATTGCAATGTAAAAACTTTGAAAAAAAAAGTTTAAATCTTTTAAAATAATGTTATTACTATTATTCACTTGAATGATTATAATGTTGTTGCCTGATGATATCAAACATCCCACGCAGATCATTTCTATCAGTAAATGTTTTTTTAATGTAGTTGAAGCAGTGTAAGTGAGTGGGCCAAGTTCTCTGCCTCAGTTGTTGAGGTGGCTGTCTTGAGCTGCTCACCTCAACCAGTGATGTCATCAGGAGTTGGAAGGAATACTGCTCGGACCTTCTCAGTTCACTGGCACGTCTTCCATGAAGGAAGCTGAGAGACTTCTGGGTTGGTCTTTCCATAACTGTGGCTGAGGTTGCTGAGGTAGAATCTCTGCAGTGTTAGGGCTCTGGGTGTAGATGAGGTCCGCCCTAATTTCCT